TATATATATATATATTATATATGCAGTAAAAACACTGCGAGTCGTATCAGCAGCGGCGAATCGCGACTCCGAAAGACAAAACGAAGACTAATCGCGCGCATAAAGCACACGGATCGGTTTTTGAACTAGGTAGTGAAGTAACACATACGTATTATATATATTGTCGTCCGAAGTGTCCTTGAAATCGATTGCTAGTTTTTTTTTGTTAGTCCGGTCGTTACCGGTCTGTAACGTTGATTAATTCGTATCATCGTGTGAGCTTTTTCACGCGCATACAATAATAACATGGTCATTCGCCGCGTATTGAATAACTTGTCCTTCGGCATTTATCGGATTTTCAGGATTTTTAACCTACAGTGGCTGTCAGACGTGTCAAATTGTCACCGACGTCCTTCAAGAGTCATTATATAAGTCCCCTTTTCGGATCTAATGGTTGTACGGGATCCCGCTTTGTGTGTAGTATGCGTGTACGTATTATGAACATTTCAAAAGGAAAGAATAAAATCACACGAGACAGTGATGGAAAGGATTTTCTGTCGAACCTAAAGGATTTAACGTTGGTGAAACCGCAACTTTCCAGATAGATACATTTTTACGCGTAACATGCGTGTGCCCTCGTTAAGAAGACGCGGTGTGGTAAAGGGTGACATATTTTGGTCGGTGGCGAAACAGGAAGGGGTCGTCAGGGCTGTAGGTTTTTATTTGGTACTGTACTACTGTGTAAAACATCTCTGTATAATACTGTTATATTGTTATTGAGGTTTTTCGACTTTGTATTTTTATCTTATAGGTATACTTATACCAATGTATGCATGCGACCATTATGAACGTCAAAAAATAATAGAAAATCTAAAAGGTATTATTCTTTCGCACAATTAATGTACGATTATGTTATGTATAGCATATCAATATATAACGAATGATAACATTATAAGTTAATTCAGAAACGTATATCTATATGACATTGTTTGTTCTTAAGGTTGAAGTACTTACTATTATTTAAATAAATATATCATATTAAATTTTAAATGAAAATATTAATTTTAAATTTAAACTGAACGCCTATAACGTACGAACAAAACACCGCTAACTCATTGTACTTTGCCAGCGTTTGTTGATTATTTTGATGATGTAATAGGTTACGTAGTCTGTTATACACTTGTACCAATTATAATGAACCGGATAAATTGTATAAAATATAAAACCCACCAACGATTCCGTACAAATCGAATATATATATATTTATATGAATATGATACATATTGTCCATTACCTTGTTGAAATTAATAAACGTACTATAAATGAAGTTTTAGATACTATTTTTTTTTCGGTGATAATTTTGAATGAATCGTAGACATCGCGCGTTATAGACGACTTATACATACACTATACACACACACCACCCGTTTGTATAAAGGATATCGGGTGCTTACTGCTTTAGTTTGACGGAGTGTGAGGACTGCTGAAATTGATAGGAAATAGTTGAAATAAGACAATATCTGAAAAGTACGAGTTTTTAATGGATCCTTTTCTTTGGATTAAAGTTTGTTGACCGTGCTATATTGGACGCCAGATATCGGCGAGGAAATAGGAAGGAGATTTCCTGTAACCGTGTATGGATATATACCGCACCTATTGATAATAATATTCCGTGTGTATGTGTATATGTGTATAAACGGTATTGAATATTACAGTCACCATCGCCCTTGCGCGTGACGGTAAAATAGTAATCGTTCCCTAATAATAGTTGTTTGCGCCGACGGAAACTTTTTTCCTCATCATCATATTATTCGCTGTAGACAATAAATGGAACGAGACAGCATTTTCCCCACTAAATCACGTAACTCCTCCTCTGCAACCGTATTAACATACTCGTTAAGAGATATSTTACAGTACGAGCTTGTGCGCCTCCAATAGCTGCATTATTTTTAATAGGTAGACTGCAAAATATAATATTGTATACGATGTAGTGAGTGACACGACGCGCCGTAGAAGGAAATCGATCATCACAATCTGTGTTTTAAATTTTACAACTTAGGTATAAAGATTGTATAAGATATAGGTAACGCGGTTTGGGGGTAATATACAGGTAAAGGAAAACAGAATTGGTTTTCTCGTTTTACCACGACGGCTTTCCAGTTTCTATGCAAATTGCAAAGTAATCGAAGTGTGTGTGCCTATGCGGAGGAAAAATGAAAAACGCGTAAAAACATGTATGTTTGCAATGGCGGTGGCGTCTTTTTCATAAAACCTTTGACTCACTATACAAGTTATACGCGCATACAACGGGTGTTTACAGTGTTTTCGTGTGACGATATTTGGCCAAATTCAAGTACGACCGAACTTATTGGGAACACATAAAACAGGTATAAAGTAGCTACCTATATAAACATACACGACGACGACGCGCTAGTATTTTCAATTTACAGGATATGTGAATTTATGACCGCAGGAATTTCATATTTTCTAATAGCCTCGAGGGTAGAAGGAATGACGTCCGTTTCCGAGGCCCCCAGAGAGTGAAGTGAAAGTCGCCGAACGTCGAGGATTATTATAGATATGTGCAGCGCGGGGGTGAGTAAAATGTGACATCACTTTTATGAAGCTCTCTTATTTTCTGTCGCGCAGAATTCAATAAATAAGTAGAAGTCCTTGTAGTGGAGAAAAATGAAGAAGGTAGTTTAAAATAAAATATAATATTCATATCACCGTAGCAGTATATTCGTATATAGGTTATTGATACACTATTACATATTTCATGTGAAAGAATGAGATATTTAAATCAAATTTCAGTAGAGAATTTGAAAATATTTCATTTACACTATATTATAATATATTTAAATAAACATATTATTTATTATTTACAATTCTTGTTTTACAGGTGAAGAAATAGTTATTTTTATCTAGTTGTTGAAATTAACATTCATGATATAATTGCGCATCCCTTTTCTCGTACACAAGAAGAAGAATACAGAATATTAATATAACAATACTACGCGGGCAACATGGAAATACAGTATGTAACAAATTTAATAATAATTTTAGGCGGTGTTCGCCGAAATCATAAATGGAAATTGAAAATCGATTTTTGCGTTTTTGTGGAGCTAATAACGCGCCAAGACAAATTTCAGTGACTTTTAGGACAGGTATCCTCCAAATTGGTGTATTTAAATTTTTATTCATTCACAAAGAGAGCAACACCATTACTTTTGCAGGTGTCCGATATGAGCTGCTGCTGTGGAGTCGTATATTGTAGTTACAATACTGAGCCAAAAATTGACATTTCTTCGTCGTGTCTGCAACCGGGTGTAAAAACCTAATTTGACCGCGTCAAAAGAAATACCGGAATGGTCTGGCGGGTGCTTTCTCAGAGCCGAACATGTGAAAAAAACTAGTATATTATGTGATTGTGCAGAGCGAAAGGCAGTGAAAAGCGTTGAGAAGAAGGTGCGTAGTAAGGTCGGAAGGGTATATTTTATATAGGACGCGTTTCATGAATATTTGTCACATTTAGAATGTAAATCTCCGTGATACACTTTGTAATAAATAATTGGGCGACATCTGGTCGGATCATTTATATTATTATTCTAACGATACTATATTATATTAGTTTAGGTTAGCGTACATTATTGGAAAATGGGTTTTAAACGTTTCGCGACAATTGTTAATATAATTTGATAACGATTAAAACGTCATGTCATGGACGCGAATTCATTTTGCGCGAAATTAAATCGTTATCAATTTTTTCAAAACGTCTAGGTCGTAAGAAATAAAACTGTTTATCAAACAATACTTGGATTACATATATGTATCAAGAAATATATTGCGTAACCGATAGTAACCTATTCATTTGGACTTTTCCGGTGACGTCTTCCGATCTCGGCGCTAAAAAACGGCATTGGTGAGTTAAACTGCAGTGTAATCACTGTAATAATACACGCTTATTATATTATGTGTATTGCTATTATTACTATCATCATCATAATTATTGTACTACTGTGTATAAGTCTGTTAAAAACGTGCTCCGCCGTTCGGTAATCGGGTAATTGACTTTTAGTTGTAGATGTTACGTATACGCCTGACTTAACTTATCCGGATGGGTGGGGGAGGGGAAGTTAATACCTGCTATATAAAGTCGCGACCGTAAATAGAATTCTTTCAGTTCATTTAATTTTAACGTATATTATACCTATTATTGTTATATGTCGTGTAACGTCGAGTGTATAATATACATTGTGCACGTGGTGGTTATATATATATGTACAGGGCGATTATTGATTTTATCGCAAACCAAGCCACACCTTGTCCGGGTGCGTTTTTAGAATTTTAGCACTTTTATATTTTAACGACTACAGCAGTGTTCACTATACTGTTACTTTCGTAACTCAAATACGTTTAATGTTTATGCTTAAAAGTTGGAAAACAATAATAAACGAATTCGTACACGGCGTCTAACCTGTTCTCGTCGAAAGTAAAATAATCACCCTGTATACATTTGTGGAGTTTTAACGGCTTAGTAATAGGTATCAATATATACTATAATGTTAGTAGTTGCTGTAGTAACCAGTAGGTATATGATATAATAATTATATACATATGAAATATATAACGGTATTGAAACCATGCCACGGGGATAGTGCGGTGTTAGAATTTGCGAACTATCTTCGTAGAAGATGTAATGAAGTATTGTAGTAATTTTAATATCTTCGGACCGCGTTATTAACAGTAATTACTTATTATTTTAACTGTTGCGACATTACATACTTTAGAGTTACGAAGGTAGCATGGCTCATAGACGCCTCTATACGTCTATACATTATTAAATGTTTTTCCTCTGTAAACGAAAAAGAAAATATAGTGATCTCTTCTGAAGAGTTTTACTCTCGAAAAAATCATTATTTTAATGTATTACCCTGTGGAGTACAATGTCGCATACACATTTATCATATCGCTTATTGCCGGTGTAATTTAACCACGGTAGTATACCTAGTAAAGATATTGTGTGAATATACTTGCGCGAAAATGCGTTCTCGGCAAACCGATTAACTATTATTGATAAACTGAAAAAATAAAACCACGTCGTGAGAGGTATTAAGGATTTTTGTATCTTAAAAAGTCGCTCAAAATGCGTTCAAACTCATTACCTCGCGTCGACGTTTTTTAGTAATAATAATAATAATACGGCGGTAGTGGTATCACGTTGTGTGTTTAAAGCTGAAATCACGCGGGTGTGATAAAAGAAATATCTCCTCCGCTTTGTTCGATGGTAATAAAAAATAATATACGAAAAACTATGAAAAATTGTTTGACCTCCGATCCGACAGAATATAGTGTGTTTGTGTATGTACATGTGACGTGATGTGCGTATATATAATATTTTATGTATATAATATGTATATGCGTGTATACATAGAGGGAGAGTGATTGTGTTTATTTTTTCATTCCGTTTCAAACGGATGAAGAGAAAACAATGAATTATTACTTGCGAGTATAGAAAATTTTTGTTTTATATTTATGAATTATATATACCTACATCCGAATACCGGTACAGAATAGTACAGAGAAATACATTTAGCACAATCGAATAATAATAATATAATTATAATAATAATAATAGTGATAACATTCTTTTGATAATCGATGAATGGCACGTCCTTCGAAGATGTAATATGTATAATACTGCTATCGCACTACGAAAAAGGTATACTCGTACAAAATTCCGAATCTTCGAGACCGACGAATAATCGACGATCGTCCGATCTCGTGGACTCCGAATGAGTGAGCTGTGTACTCCGTGACACGGGCATCGTCTAAGGCGAAACTCAAGCACGTCGCCTCACCCCCCCCCCTCCCCGGAAGGCGCGTGATCTCCAGTCAAAGATTGTCTCTGTATTGTATATTATATGTGCAAGTAACCCTTAGGGACGAATCCGTCGAGAAAAAATCGACGTCGCACGCTCTCGAATAACGATAATTTATCCGGAGTGGATTTGGTCTTCTAGCTGTCCCCATCCACACAACGGTAATGGTCACCTGCCCGTTCGATTGACGCGTGATACGTTTTCGGATAATCGATTATTTTACAATTTTAATTTTTTTTTTGTCATAAACACCATATACGATGGATATAATATAGTATTATATATATACGCGTGAATTGTTTATATATTTTATAGTGTTATATAACATAATGCATTATAATATGTATTAGAGAAGAGAAACTGCACCGTCCGCGTCTGTTCGACTTTGGTCGGTCGACTTTCTACTCGTCACGGAGCTGACGAAGAAAAGTAAGATTTCGCTGCGTACCGTGCCTAGAGGGCGGCGTGGGCGGGGGTACATGGATGCTCGGGGTTCGAAGGAGAGGTCAGGACAAGACGGCGACGCCGCCATCGCATCCTCGGTTTGCTTTCCTCAGTGTCCGAACAGCACCGGATTGGACAGCATTATGACCAGGCTGAACAGGGCTAGCACGTGGACGGTCATCTGGCCGCTGACCGCACTCCGGTTGCCGTGCTGCATGGCTGCAGGGTGTTCACCTGTTGACCAAGAACGGAAATAAAAAAAATTATCACCCAGTGTATAATTTAATATGTTGTTATTATTTAATTTTATTTTTGTGGGCGTGAAGGGGTTGGTGCTTTGTCGGACAAACGTATTTCAAAATAAATACATTAAACATAAGTTAGGTGGTTCAAGTCATTTTGATTCAATTAATCGATTGATTAAATGTAACGATTTATTTTAATTGTACTTAACGTTATCATACCATTGCTACTATTTATTGCTAGGTAAAGACTTGCTTTAAAGCAAGTCAATTTAAACAAATTCGCTGAAGAGAGCACGTGCTCTAAGTTACATAATTATCTACGGCACTGAAGTACACATTTTGCATTGAGATATAAAACATTCGTGAGTTACTCTGTTTGCAGTGATCTGAATCGTGCAGCGTTAGTTTTCAGAAGCTGTGTAATATAACTTAAAAGTGGTTGCATATAGTTAGTGTTAGACGTTAGCAGAGTTCATGACTACAAAACTGATTGTAAGTTATACAAGTCATAAATGTAACTGATTACTGCCTAATCATGTGAGTACCTATAATATAATATTTATTACCATAATATACAACAGTATACTTATAGACAATTATAGACTCGAACGCGTTTATTGGACTGTTGTGAGAATATCAGTAAACAGTGTTTAATTATTGGCTGTAGTGAAATGAATTGTAATGACATCGACTTAGGGACATCGTTACTTACTGAGAAACGAAACAATAACCACTAAGACTCTAAACCAATAACACAAAAACAAGAATAATAAAATGCTTTGTAAAATGTCAGTTTTTGAAAAGGCCGTTATTTGTTACAATATAGTGTAGGCAGAAATTGGCGATGTTATTTTTATCCTATTTTTATGTACAAGTTGTTTGCGTTTGTAGAAAAACGGTACTTTTTTGTTTTTATATATTTTTATACTTGTTAGTCGTGTAGTGTTTACCCTAAGTGTTTTGGCTTTTGTCGAATGGTCTCCAGTACGGCTATTTCAAGTGTAGTGAAAAATAAACGGTTTTTTCTTTTTTCGTAAACGACGACGGACAAAATAACAACATGTTTATTCAGAATGCTATTTTTCCCTAAAAAATGTATGTGTGACTCTTGTTTTTTGTCCCTACAGTAACAATCTTTATCGTCGATTATTAAAAAAAAAAAAGACACAAAACGTTTTTCCGCATTTTCTAGTCTCTAAAAAGTCGATGAAATGATAACAATTGTTCGGCTCATTAGTTAGAGAGATTTTTTTAATCCATTTACCCATAATATTTGATGATATATTTCCTTCGATGTATAATGTACGTATTTCAATCGCGTTTCCTGTTTCTGATTTTTGTAATATACCTACATCAATGCTTACTGTACGATTAGCATATAGAACCTATATTTTTTAAAGTATAGAATAGCTATAAAATCTTTTTAATTATTTGATTTTTACAGATAAATTTGATCAGTACTTCATAATATCCTATTGCCTAATCCTAATCTGTGGCATGTGAAAACTTTGTATGTAGTACGTAGAGAAGTTTTCTGATTAACTAAAATGTACCTAAATATAAGTTGACCTATGTAAGCTTACATGACGTATACATATTGTCATTATTATTTATCATAATTTATAATCATTATCAGAGCCAGTAAACATTTTTTTAGGCGAGGCTTTAGAATATAATTTTTTACAACACGAAGCCTTGGGTAGAAGATTGCTGGCTATACCTAAAGGTTAGGCTTTGATCATTATTAATCATTATAATAACTAAAATATTACCATAAATATTTAATATTACTTTTTGTGCAATAAATGGTCATATTTTAATATTTATAGTATGTAGTAAAAGGTATATTATAAAAGGTTATTAGGTCAAGTGGTACGAGAAAAATTTCAAAATGTTCGTAGGTATGAAAAGGTTGGGAACAGTTGGTCTATTTTATAGTTCAGCAGTTCAGCCCCACATAGCTGCTTAATAATAATTGATATAGTATTATAGTTATTTTCATATCATTGTAAATTATGTCATTTATATTCAACGTCATGTTTATTCAATCAAAATGTCGAATTAAGCCGATCGTGTATAATTATGCTGTGATTTTTTTAGATTCTGAGAGGAGCGAGAAATGTATTGATTTTACAATGATGTTTATTTCTATTTCTTTTTCTTTTCATTTCTGTAAACACTTTTTCTCCCACTAAACTTGCTTAAAAGTATCAAATGTAGCATCTTTTCTGAAAGGTAATGTTCTTGAGCTGGTACTTTAGAGAGGTCATTTTTCGATTTTCGAAACAGTTCTCAAAATAAAAGCGGTTAAAGGAGAAAAAAGTACGATTTCAGGATTTTATAATATTAAATAATTACACACGACGTTTTCTACCAGAAATATTGCTTCAAATGAAAAATGGCCAGCGATCTTCTTTGTCGTATTTTAAATTTCGTTTCTTATAATTTAAATTTCGGAAAATTTTATTTTATAACATTTTAATTTTGGGAGTTTTTTTGATGTAATTCGGTTAAAAACATTCGTAAAAACTTGAAATTTGGGTTGTATACTTATATTAGCTTTTCCTAGACATGGTAAAGTTTTCATAACATTTGAGCGAATTTTTTTTATAAGCATTCAAACTTTGAATTTTGACAACATACGTAAAAATCACGAAAATTCGCAAATCATTTTAAGCTAGAAAATCATAAAAAAATTTGTTTTATAATCTATAATATATCCTAGAAAGATAAACCATCTCCGCTCAGAATCGTTTTTCGTATACAATGATATAATATCATTGGATTTAAATTTAATTATATTTATAACAGTAACCCACTTGTAACCTACTGTACAGCAGAGCGACATCCACTCTCCCGCTTTTTTTTAGATTACTTCTACTTTTTTCGTCGCTACTATAGAATACGAATTTAAATAAATGCAAGAAAAACTTTCTATTATTATTTTATTTACAATCGGCATAACGTAATGGTATTTAAAAATATAATACAATTATTATGTTAATGTAACAAAATGTACGACATAAATATAGCAGAGTGACATAGAATACTATATATTAGTATATATATATATATATATATATATAGTATATAATAATATAATAATATATACTATATATACTATATTAGTATATATATACTATATATACTAATATATAGTATATATATATATACTATATATTACTTCTATGTAATCTAATACAGCAGAGTGACATCCACGACTTACCCGCTTATGTTTTTTATAAATTCTAATGCGATTAAGTTGATTAGTGTGTAGCGCGTTTAATTCTCTATTGGGGACGACTTTTCTTTGAAAAAATTAAATATCGACGGTCGTCAAGGCTCGTTTGAAAACGAAGTCGTAATTTATTTTCCATAGCCACTGGTAATGTGAAATGTCTAATGACTTGAGTGCCTGCGTGTTTTTTTTCTCAATACATTTATATATAAATATCTACGTATTATATGTAATTTACTTTTATACGTGCATTTATGGATGACGAACACGACGCGAGTTGGGGAAAAAATTTGCTTACATTAAAATCCGTACAATAATAAATTGGGGCAGTGGGCGAGGAAGTCACGTCCCATTTCTACTTAACGCTTAAAAATTCGTTCATTATCGTGTCGCTATGTGTATTAATACAGGCACATTTATACACTAACGACGAAATTAATTTAATATACTTTATTACATAACGGTATAGGTATAGTGTAATATAATATAACTCGTCGATGATCGCCTGGTAATTTTCAATAGTACTTGCATAAAATAATTTATCCATGAATACTAGAATACAGGGCGCGGCAGAGCCAACTAACGAGTTTTGAGGGCTATAAATAATGAACAGTTAAACTTAACAGTTTGTTTTATTAAAATTGGTTGAAAATCCCGTCAGTTGGCTCTGCCGCACCAGTAGTACAATACTATATATAGCGTACTATTTTCAGTGTACTAAAACAGTATTTTTTTTTTTTTTATTTCGTATAGGATTACAATAATATTACACGGCCACCTCTCAAGACTTCCACGCGACTTAGTATCAAGTATTGAACCTTCAAAACGTGGAAATAACGATACAAGTACATAGCAAAACTGTACATAGGTAGTAGTTATAGCGAATATCTAGTGAAAGCTTTTATCTAGGATACGTTTTCGGATGAAATTATTGAAAGAGCGGTTTAAAATATTGCTTAAAAATACAACGAGTATAATAATTGTACCCAGGTATATAAGGTATTATATGGAACATATTATTATACTGTCACTATATAATATAATACCTCAACATTTAGACGTATAACGTGTTGTGTAAGCCACACGGATTTCTGGGCCATTTCCTCCCATAAATAGCAGTAGGTACCTTTCAGAATCGGCCCGATTAACATGCGCCCCATCACACATATTTATTCGTACGAGTTGACAACAAAAGCGAAAGTGACCATCGATCGTTTTTACGGTTGAAAAATACGCGACGGCCACGACAACACGGCGTCCCAAGAAATGTGAAAATAAGAGGAAACCTTGCTGTAAGTAAAGTACGGCTCTATATAGCCCACTTAACTCTCTCTCTCTCTCTCTTTAAGTATATATCTATATATTATACACGAGTCTTGTGGATTTTCGAGTTTGTTTAATGCGCCACATTTAAAGGGTTTTCGGTCGGTGACAGAGCGCACTGGGGACTGGTAAATTTGACGTGGAAAAACTGGCAGACATTAATATCGCACCGCAATACAGCGCACTATATTGTTGTGTGTACACCGTACATATATAAATACATAAAATATGTGTACTACAGTGCGGCAGGTATCAGCAGATTTCTATCGGACATTTCGGGCATTCCTAGGGCACCCGGACAAAATGACCTTCAGGTTGTTGTGCATATAGGGTGTCCAAACTCACCAACCACTTATCATAAACTACCTCTAGATTTAGATGAATTTAAAAACACAATGTAAACGAGACGATGCAAATTAAATGAAAAA